AATTTCTTTTTTAAAAAATGTATGCATTTCATCCCTGCCTATACTTCAGTAACAGTTGGTGTGCAACATATTTGGCAATGTTTTCTGTGTACAAATTCCCCTCTTGCCCTGTCACTAACAAATACATACTATTTTCCCATCTGCTACATTACTATTACTCAATCTTTCAAAATGTTCAGATTGTAAAGATCAATCATGACTACACTGACAAATCTTTTAATAATAGAACCATGCAAAGAGGCAGCTTAGAAAGGTCAAAACACTAGTATCAAGTATTCAAGTGTCCTGAAAGGGCATCCATTGTTCACTTGGCTGTTCATGTGTTTTTTTTGCTAGGGACTGAGAATTGTGTTTGTGGCGTTTTCTACCTCATGGGACACAACTTGGCTAACTATGGTTTTGTGCACCTTGGCTTGACCTCTGGAGTAGGCAAGAGTGCAATTTTGGCTGCTCCAGCAAAATTAAATATCTTGGGCTGGTCCAATTGTCTTCATCCTTGGTATTCGATGGTGATGAGATGGGTACAATTCATAGGAATGTCACTTGAGAGAGCTGATCTTCCTTTTCACTAAAGCGAAAAAACATCTAGGACTCTCCCTAACATGTCCACATTTTTCCCACAGAAAAAGCTAACAATGACTTCAGAAACACCAGAAATTGATGTTTTACCTAACACGAGGCTGGAACTGAACCTTCAGGAGAAAGGCAAAACTCTTACGTTTAATGGAATTGTTATTTTACCTTAGGAACATGGCATGCTCTGGTTTCACCAAAGACCAAAGGTGGAGGCATGCATAGTCATTAAAATTAAGCAATGTTAATTTGCAGTCTTCTCAGTAGGGAAGGGCCTAAATGAGCAGGATGTGTCATGCCAAAATCATTGGACTTTAAACATTCTCTTTAGAGGGATCTCAAGAGTTTGTAAACGGCATTCTAGACTGGGTATGTTTTTGAATTTCATGCAAATTTTTCCCTGGATTTTAGCATTTGGAATTATATGGTTTCCTGTTTGTGCAGTGAAATCAGTGTACTGAGAATTCACTGATACCCATTTTCTTTCCAAATGTTGCAAGGTCTTATGCATGCAACTTTCCAATGTTCTGTTCCACCACATCTTATCTCCTCCCCTACAGTATACACACATGTGCACTAGGAAAAAATATACCATAGCAACTCTGTTGTCTATATGATTGCACTTTTGTGCAGGGTTTTATACTATATAAAACGCCATCTTTTATATAATGATCAACTGTGTAGCAATGTACAAAAGTATATCGGCACATCAGAAGATGACCACACAAAAGGAATCTTGGTACAACCATATAAACATACTGAAATTGCAATGTTTTATCTATGATGCACATATTAGTAACATGGAAGGTGGAAAGGCAACTGAATTGAAAACAGCAGCAAACTCTACATGTTCCAATTCTATACCTTAAATTAGGATGATCTCCTAGTTAAAGCCATTGAGTATAAGAGCCATTGAGTTTAATAGGCCTTCTCGAAGCATGAATAAATCTGAATTCAAACCAATATTATCTACAGCATATTAATAACTAAAAGGCATGCATTTTTAAAAAACCTGTTTCACTTCCTCTCCCTACCACCCAGCCCTCAGGAATAATTCTGCAGGATTTGACTTGCATAATTTCCTTCTGAAGTATTATCAGACACTAAGCTTCAAGAGGTGGAGGTGCCGGGAGGGGGAGGATTTTCAAACTCTCGCATTTCCTGTCCGCAGAGTTGCCTTAAAGCTCCTGTCATTTTAGTTGTTGAACTTTCAGAGCTAGTTCATAGTAAGAGTGACAGGATAGAACAAAGGGGGGCATTCCAAGTGTAACTGAATCAGACATTTAAAACAAATCAGCGATCTCCTTGTGGGAGAAGTCTTTTTTATTAAGACACAAGTAATAAATGCATCCAAACATTTTTGCAAAGAAAGTAAAACACAGACCTTGTCCATTAAAGAGGAAATCTCTAATAATTTATTGACCTTCAGTTTCACATTGTGAAAAAAATGCAGTTATACAAAACTTTAAAATGTAGTGGCAAACAGATACAACATGGACATTTCACTTCACTTGTACGGTTTTCCTTTTTCTACGTGAACTGCATCTTCAATTGTCAAACAAGGGACACTATTCAGCTCTAATCACTCTTATTCAGACAGGTGTCAGGCCTAGAGAAAGGGGGCTACACAATTATACCAGAAGTGGTAGGCTGCCCTTTGTTGCCCGTTTCCACAGCAACCAGCCCACAAAATACGAACAACTTTCTTGTCTTATGCCAAGGTTTTTGTGTGCACTCTTGTGTGAATTGCATTTGTCTCAGAAGTGTGGGCTGGTTTTTGGACTGGAATCACCAAGTAGTAAGTTGGGATTCCCACGTCAATTGAAAAGAACGGCCCAAACTATTTGCCTGCAGGGCTAAAGGCCCACCCTGATTTTCAGTTTCCTTCACCCCATACCCAGGAATTAAATCCAAGGACTTGAAAGCAAACCACTGCTTTGAAATACAATGGCAGAAACTTCAGACGCTTTAGGAAGTTAGATGGAATTACAAAACAGATTTGTGTCATAAGCTAAACAGCTATATAGAGAGCCACTGCAGACAGAATTCTGTCACTTCTCTCAACAAATAAACGATTTTTTTTACCCTTTACTCAAAACACCTTGAGTCATTAATGCCTGTACTAAGGAAATGCAAGAATACCCTTACACTTCAACAGGGCTTTACGGTTCCTTTGTTTGCATGCAAACTTTTAAAAGGCCAGAGACCACAACTGAGGAGCAACGATAAGGGTTTGTGGTAGCCTGTTTTCTTAAAAGAAAATTTAGTTTAGAGGTATTTCTGGTAAAAATGAGTGTTTTAAGGATCTCTCAGCTTACTGTTTTACATCATTTAACAAATCCTGCTGCTTGCCATTTTATGTTTTGGGTTCTTTTACAGACAACATCAACAGTGATTTGTAAACTCTACCCTGCAAATCCAACTAGTCATAAATGCCAAAGGCCTTTTCCAGAGCAAAAATGACCAAAAGCAAATTGCATCTATATGCCTTCTACTCTTGAGTGCACTGTACTGAACGCATTGGTCTTGAATAGCAGTGCCTTGCCTAATAAATATCTCAGTGATAGGAGTATGCACAAAGCTAGCAATGCCTAGCATCAATTCACTCCAGGCACCCAGTACATCTGAATCCCTTATTATAGCTGTAATGTAAGAAAATGTGAGTACTTGTCAAAAACATGAAAATCAAAGCAGTGGTTTGCAGTACTCAGTTTATGACTTCTGTAACCCAGGGTTTCTTTAAAAAACCGCTTCTACTAACCATGCTAAGAACAATTCACAATTTGTCAAATTGCACACACATTCATTTCTTAATAGAGTGTAAGAAAAATTAGCCTATGGCAGGGAGAAAATTATTAAAAGACTAGGCCACAATCCTAAACATACTTCATCTTTCCCTAGCCCAGTGATTTCTAGATTTGTTGGACAACTCCTCCTATCATCCCCTGCTAGCACAGCCATGTGTAGTTTAACACATCAAAGGGCTTGGGAAGGGCTGAATAAGAAGTAAGCCCCACTGAACATAGTGGGGCATATCTATGAGTAAACATGTATAGAATTGTGCTGTGAACACTGTTAAAATGTTGTCCCGTATGCTATATGCTGTCAAGAATTGAGCAATATCTATATCATTATCATCACCATCATCATCATCATGTAGGCAGGCATTAGCATTAAAACTCCTTTTAGGCATGCATACATGCATTTCAAAATAATTTTGCTTATACAACATTAAGACAAGAAACCAACCACAATGAGGACTGGTGACTTCATGTTGTTTGGGCTGTATCGGTTCTAATGAAAATCCTAACTAAATGTCAGGCAAAGAAACCAAGTATAAAAAAGAAAGAACTTACCAGGTTTGAAAGTAAGAGTAAAGTAAGAAAATAAATTGGGGGGGGCACTTCAAAATCCTTTATTCGATCAAGATTTCATGGAACACTACCAGTTACTATGCATTTGAAAGTGTAACTTGCTAGTTAATGGAATCTAATACAAACACTTCAGGACTCAGCAACTTTTTTGCTTGGACATCCTAAAAATTCTGCCAAACCTTGTAAAAAACTGATGGGGGCAGAGTGGAGGGAGACCACGTGTTTACGTTATTTTAATCTGAGAGTTGAATCAATTCGATTGCTTTTCATTTTAAAAAGAAACAAAATACTTCCCTGCTGCCCCCCTCCCCACTCCATTTATCATGTTTCAAAACTATGAATCAGAAAAACTTCCCTTGGTCAGATAAATGGGACAATGGCAAGCATCCCATCAGCTAAGAATAAATAAATAAATAAACAAAACAAACACTGGATAATGCCATGAACAGGGCTCTGTGTAAAAAGATTCTGCAGGGTGTTTTCCCCCTTTCCAGTTGCGATGAGGCTGCACAAAAAGAAAGCTGTTAAGCGACTGTACTGTTTCCAGATGAGTTCATTCAAAAAGGCATGACTAGGCAAACAAAGTGTAACAGGGATACAATCAGCAACCGAGGGAGCCAGTGGCCTGAGAAAGCAACCTCCATGGCTTCTTCCTTCGGCACATCTGTAACTTAAGATGCTATTTATTTATTTTGCTTATTTGGGTAATTTTTTACCCCGTCCAATACTCAGTGGGTCTCAGGACGGCTTTCAGTTCAAATCCGATAAATACATAAGATACCCAAATAATACAATATAATTGATCCACAAACTGAGCATAAAAGCATAGTTAAAATTAAACATTAAAAGCAGGGAAGAATAAAAAGGTCTTGACCTGGTGCCGAAAAACATATAACGTTGGCGCCAGGCGGACCTCTCTGGGGAGCGCATTCCATAGTCGGAGCGCCACTGCAGAGAAGACTCTCCTCTGAGTATGTTTTCTCCTAACCTCCTTCAAGGAGGGTTCCCGGAGCAGGGCTTCTGCTGCAGATCTTAAGGGGCAGGTGGGCATTTAGGGAAAAAGGCATTCCTTTAGGTATTCTGGTCCCAAGCCGTTTAGGGCTTTATAGGTCAATACCAATACCTTAAATTGGGCCCAGGCTTCAATTGGAAGCCACCGGCATTATATGAGAATAGCGACATGCCCCCAACAGCAATCTGGTGGCTCTGTTCTGAAACAAATGAAGTATCTGGACCGTCTTTAAGAGCATCCCCACGTAGAGCGTGTTACAGTAATCCAACCGGATTACCTTGATTACAAGGTAGCAAGGTAATTCTACCTTGTAATCCTTCCATTTCTGACCCCTACCTCTTTCTATCCTCCTTGAAAATTACTCAGCCTTTTTCTTGTGCAGCAGAGCAAGTCAGAGATCATATAATGTGCAAAACATATAATTCACGCAAGCCCTTATAACTTGAAGACGACTGTAGGCATTGTTTTAGCATGCAAGCACTGAACAATAAATATCTCTATCTACAACAAGTAACCATTTAGGAGTAGGAGAGTCATAATTAATAAATACAAGAAAAAATCAAATGCATGGGGGGAAAGAGTCACTTGCCTTCACCCACAAATGCTGCAAAAAGAAGTTCTATTTTAATGTTTATTGATGAGCTGCTCCTCTTTAGCAAGTGGAAGGTCATTCGCCACATCAATGCAGCTCAGCAATTTGTACGGATGCTCCAGGCACTGCCTAGGAAAACAAGTTCATCCCTGTAGCCAGGGATACAACTGCATCTTCATTCATAAAGACACATCTCATTGCTCCAGACCTGGCCCAGTTCCTCTGCAGCTGCTGCTGACATGTCAAACGGTCACAAAGAGAGGTGACAACCATTGCAAATCTCACACACAAACAGCAAAGTCCATGAAAATCAAAAGTTGTGCTGGGTTGTGGAGCGCTGAAAACTTGAGCTTCCCCCCTCCTCCACCCCCCACCCTGCCTTGAAGGGCTGATTAAATTTGACATTAATCCACAATTACTAACACAGAAACCAGATCATATGTTCATTCATTCATAGTTAAACCATGTGCTGATATACCAAAGACAGTATTCCCCTCCCATTCCTTCATTTCCAGCTTTAAGAATTTAGAAGGTGCAGAAGTTTTTCTTCAAACTCAAAACCACACAAGCAAACGAATTGTTTTTCTTCATTAATAACTGCTTCTCCACAGTCGGTTCCAACATTTCTTCACCAAGTAATTGAATGAACTAAGAAAAAAGGGAAAACATTTTAGAAGATTTTGCTGAAAAAACATACTATATACATTTTGATAAATATTCAAAGATATAGCAAAAATGAGGTATATCTTATAAAAAAATTATGATGTCCCATTATTGACCTATGTAATAACTACTTGCAGTTAAGTTTGCTAACAAACAAACCAAAAACCCAAAACAAAACAAAAACACCCTTAAAGTCAGAATCTGCAACTCCAATTAAGTACAATCCTATGCATGTTTAGGCAAGAAAAAATCCCACAATTCTGGGAGTTGCAGGACAGTTTCCCATCTAAACATACATAGGTTTGCACCATTAATGACTCTTTTATTCTGATATTACATGCAACAAATGTTTTTGTTTAATATAAGTAAAGAGGGGTGGATGGAAGTCGGAAGAACAGTGAAAGAATATAATAATTTGATTCCATATCAAAATGCTCATGAGCTATACAGGTAACACGAAAAAGATAGAATAAAACAAAACAAAATTAATGCAACCTTTCTCAAACAAAGGAGAAGTTGCCTGGCAGAAGTAGCAGGACACCACTTTGGTCAGGGGCCAAATCAAACTAGAAAAGAGGAAAGGCAGCCTGTCAGAAAAGAGAATTGCCAACCAATGCTCTATTAACCATGGAGAATCCCGAATAAAACTGATTCAGATTATGAATGGCAGACATATTAATCCCCTTATTTAAAAGGTTTCTGCTATTCATTATGTCAGGACTCGGTTTCGCGGGGCTTTGTCATGTGACAATGTAGTATGCTTCAATGCCTCCCCATTGAAGCCTTTTCTGTACGTTGGTTATTCAGTACAAAATATTGGCTTTGGATGCCATGGGTTGGCGTCCATACTCAGCCTTCTCACTCCAGGCCCGTTTTCAAACTGGGCACCATGCTGGTTTTTAAAGTAGCAATTAATAGCTCTGCCACAGTGTATGAGGCAACGTTTGATGTGATTTCCACTGGTGCAATTGCAAAAACACTCCGGTTAACTCGGTGCAACTTGTTTGAGGGTGTATGTATGCTACTGAAGGTGAACTTGGCCTCAGACAGAGCCTCAATGTAGAATGGTGTATTCAGGATAAACGTGGGGACCTACTCTGACAACTTTCAGGTTACAGAGAAAGCCCCTGTTTTAAAACACTTCCTGTTGATCTGAATCTTTTACACATTCCTGTGAATGGGGTGGCCCTTCTCCCCCTATGCCTCAACCACAGAAGCCAATATACAGGCTCCAGTCACAACGTATAGATTATATACAGATTTCCCCACCACTGCTGTATGGGTGGGGAACTCTGCTCCAGAGAGCCTGCAAGTCTGAGAGACGAGACAAAGCAGCCTTAAGATTTTCCTAGCTGCTGTCAGGCTCAGGACACACCGCACCAGGAAAACAGAGCCCAATCATAAGCAATTTCCTTTCTGTCCCTCCCTCCCACTGACAGAGCAGCAGGAGCCACTAAAAATCTACTCGCTGGATGTGCACGCAGCCCCGAGACTGCAATTCTACAGCCACATCCATTCAGTTATCTCAACGCATTACAGAAACTAAAGAATGGCTTTACGGGGGGAGAAAAGCGCACAGCAAGCAAATCTGCTCTGTGCCCTTATTAATTTGAAAGGGCAGATGTATACATTCATTCTAGGGAGGGGGGCATTAAAGAACAATTCAGAGAAAAGTTGACAGAACGTGCCAGTGTTTCTTCTGGCATAATTCAGAGTCCAAGAACTTGTTACTAGTACGTTGGTCATATTAAATCGCCATAAATTGTGTGTTCTGAAGAGATATGACTGGCTTTCTCACTACTGGAATCTAAGAGTCTTGATGCCTTACTTGCTTAATTTTTGAGTTACAGGAAATTTACAATTAGGTGTAGATAGATAGGATATTCTTACATTCAAGTTTTGCTGTTATTGGCTGGAAACCAGCTCTCCCCTTTAAAAAGGAAAATAAAAGTTTTTTAAAAACCTGTGCTCCCCATGGTTATCTGCAGCATGAGAATAATAATACCAATACTGCAAGGCTATTGTAAGAATTACTGAGACTATATGAAATAATTTATACTATGATAAAAGAGAGGGAAGATCCAGCAAGGGAGGAAATGAGAATTAAAGAGTCCCAAGTGGCTAGTTGTTCAACATGAGGGCAAAACTGGAATTACAGACATAACCCTGGGAAGCAAGCATGGAAGGCTGAGAGACAGTGTTGTGTTAAATGATGAATGAGGACTCAAAAGATCCAGGCTCTAGCTCCCACGTAGCCATGATGCTGACTGGGTGACTTTGGGCCAGTCATTGACTTTCAGCCTAACCTTCCTCACAAGGTTATTGTCAGAATAAAATGGAGAGAAGGATTATGTAAACCACCTTGGTTTCCTTGCAGGAGAAAAAAAGTATGATACAAATATATCATCATCATCAAATAATAAAATTAAAATAAACAAATTAATTCCTAGTAAATGTCACTTCACAATTGCTCCAGTGAAGAAACTTGATTCCCCGAGTTTGATTTGGGATCATCTAAATCCTATAACCCTGAGAGAGCCAAATAAATATAAAACTCCATCAACAGGAGACAAACGAAGAGCAACTTGTCAACAACTTTTACTGAGAAAACTATTTCATGGCTTTGTAAAAATTAAACTGTATGTGCTGTTTTGTTTGGAATTTGTTTGCAATATGCTGGCTGACAGGCTTGCATTTTGATGGCCCAACCTGCAATTGTTTTTATAGCTATCCCTAAATGGTTCTCATTTGTTATTATTTTTGTCACAAAGACAACAGGTTGTTCTGCTTTTATTGCAAGAGCCGCTTAGCCAGTTTCTTTTAACCTTGCCACCAATGTCACAAGATAATGAGGTCAAGGAATCTTTGCAACCTAGTTAAGTCCATGATGCAGCTTCCAAGCGCCAGCAGAAATTACAGGTTTATGTCTACTTAGGCAACTTGAACTGCAGCCCTTGGATTACTTAGACTAGAGTAGCACACTGTTCATTAATATGTGTTGAAACTTGCTTTTTTAAGGATTAAAAAAACAAAAATCAGTTGTGAGCTGGATTCTAGGAAACTCAAAAATTTGCAATCTGAGCCCAAGCTTTTTAACTCAGATACAACCTCCACTAAGTTCAATTACTCTACCTTCCTGTATTTAGGATTGCAAATTTAGCATCAGATCCAGTATTATGTTAACAGAAGTACACCGGTGCAGTGGGACTTTCTCCTGCTTTTACTCCCCACTGCAGCACTCTGTGCCACTCCAAAAGCTAAAAGGGTTTCCCAACTCTTCAGCAGAGATTCTGAGGACACACAAAAGTAGAAGGGGAACCGCCCACTTCCTGGTTGTCTCAGAGAATGGCTTCTCTCAGCAAAGTAACAGCATTGGATCCCACCCTCAGTTTAAAAAAATGCAATTTTGGAAGACTAACAAAGGTATGGAAAGACAGGTTTAGATTAATGCAATAGGTGAGCAATTCTTAAGAAAAGGATATATTGCAAGAAAGGTTTTACTGGCATTTCAAAGCAGGGGGGAAGGGGAAGATCAGAAGGCAAAGCACATTTGCACCAATGGCAAGAGAACTGTACAAGCACCTGCATGAGCTAGTTCAGATTCTGAGTTGCTTGTAAGCAAATGCCATTCCACTGAAGTCACCAACTTTGCACCTGCCCACATCATCAGGTGCAAACTTGGGCCACTGCACTAAACTATAAAGTAGAATTTATAGGCTTTGGAACGCTCCAACTTACAGACCAAATTATTACTTGAGTGAAATGGCATGTCTTCTTGTTAACATAAGATCAACATGATACACCATCAGACACAGGAAGTAAACCCTTTTTCTGCCTCAGAATCAGATGCTTTTTGCTTATACATTATAAATAGCTCTGATTCACTAAGCTAAGCTGTATAAACGCACAGCATTTTCCTTGGATGATATATTCCAAAAGCCTCTTCAAAAAGCATTTTGTGCATGCAAATGATACTTGTCCATTTATAAATCAAAATTAACTCCTATCCTACCTGCTCTTCTATCATAAATACATTTATTTGTAATTAGTCCCACTGATTTCAGTTTTATTTATTTTCAAGTAAGTGCCATTAGCAAAACAGTCTTGCAGTTATAATTATAGGAGTCTGGTAGGCAAGACTATGAACATGCTAAGCTCATGCAGTTCAGGTAAGATTATCTCTTATAAGCAAAGTAAATTAGTTTGAATTAACTCAATTATACTCAATTCTCTTTCCAGATGTAGTTTTATCAAGGCATTTTGCAATTATATATGGACCAACTCATTAAATACAGTTTTCCTATAGGTAAATGGCCCCTCAACTACCCTCTAGCAAATGCTTGCATAAACATACATAACATGTGAACCAGGCAATCACAGATACATCTGGAAATGATTATTGTGCCATAAATGCAAACATTATGGATGACTGTATCTCTCTGACTGACAGGTTCATACATTATTATATCACTCACACAAGCACTTAACACGGACGACTGGGATTGGTCACAGTACTGAGCTGGACAGTTTGTGTGATCTGATCTTATACTGCATGCCAATGAGGTTTAATTCAGCGAGGCACTATTCCACATGACAGTGCAGCAGCTAAATCATGAACAGGAGTGTGTAAGAAAAGCCATGCTGAATCTGACCTAATGCCTAGCTAGTCCAGCATTCTCTTCACACGGTGGCCAATCAGATACCAGTGGGAAGCAGCCCAGTACTACCACATAATCACAATAGCCCCCTCCTGTTCCTATCCTGCCCAGCAACTAACCTATAGGGACCTACAGCTGGATACTGCAGGTGACGTTTAGCCACCATCCCAAGCAGCCACCGGAAGCTTCTCCTCTGTGATCTGTTAACTCCTACTAAAGTTGCCACCTTTTTAAAGATGCCCACCATGTTACCACCACGCCATCTCTTCTGTTTTCCCTTACCCCCAGCAAAAGCACTTAGTTGGCATTTATGCCTATATAAATCTGAAGGACCCATCCATGTTTGGATGTGTGGTTTCTCACCTGGATAGGCACACATGCAGCTACGAAGGGAGATGCTTCCATGTGCTCACAAATGCCGTGGGAATTAGTGAGTAGGGCACTGTGGTTATGCTGTTCCACACATCTAATGTGGGATCATAGCAATCGAGCGTTTTGCATCTCTGGATGCCAAAATATCCCCCAACAACGTACAACTTGTTTCCAGATGCTACCGCATGGCAGCTCATCCTCTTAGCTGTCACATCTCCTACTTTAGTCCACTGGTAAGTTTCACTGTTGAATTTATATGCTGAGCATGCAGAAAATTCGGTGTCTCCACCCATAATAAAAATCTGGTTGCCCAGAACAGCTGCAGCTGTGTAGCGCCATGGCTGAGGGCAGGTAGCTGGTACTGTCCATCTGTTTTCGCAGAGGTCATAACATTGAACTTTGGGTAACTTATCATGGCTAACACTGGTACCACCAAAAGCAAATAGCTTCAGCTTTGCACTGACTACAGCTGCGTTGCTTACTCCCTCTCGAAGCGGAGCGACCATTGTCCATTTGTTAGTCACAGGGTCATACTGTTCTACTTGCTTTAAGGACACCGAAGGAGAAGCTGGAAGACAACCAGTGGCTGCTGTGTGCCCTCCAACAACGTAAAGACAATGTTTGAGTTCAGCAGAACCATGACCAAACCGAGCAACTAGCATGGGAGCAGCCTTGGACCACTCTTCATGAAGTGTATCGTATACCCATACATCTTTAGAGACTCCGTTTTCAGATCCCCGGCCACCAGTAATGTAGACTTTACACCCAATAGCACAAGCACTGAACTCTTTCCTTGGGCTTGGAATGTCAGCTTTTGGAATGATCTCCTTTGCTTTTTGGTCAACTAGGTACAATTTGTCACACATAAAGGTTTGTCCTCCCAAAAGGAATAGGGCATGGCCTGTTTTCCGAGGCCTCGCACACAAACTGGTGACTACTCCATCATTCTGTAAAATCTTCAATTTGCACCTTATTGCTTCTTCTACAATCTCCTTGCTCTTCCTGTGCTTTGTGATAAGCTCCTCCGTTGCTACATTCTCCATTAGGTAGATGGCTGGCAGAAGAGCAAGTCTCACAGTCTGCAACAATTCTGGCAGGTAGCAGTGGCGTTTATTCAGATCATAGTTAATCCAGTTCATTGCTGACTCATATACTAACCGCTCATCTTCTGTTTCTAATTCTTCGCTAGATAGAAGTTGTACAACCATGTCTTTGGGGAGCTGGAGAAAATCTTCACTTTTGCTGATGGTCTGGAAGTTGCTAAGGCACATCCTCCAAGAGAGCTCATAAAGTTTGGTGCACTGGTGAGCATCTGACAGTAGCAGCATGCCAAGACAATTTGTGGGGTGAAGGTTTTTCTCGAGGAATTCTGCACAGGCATCTCTAATGTCCTGGAACTCTAACATGTCACCTGCCTCTAGAAGAGACTCAGCATTCTCTTCATTGATGATGACCCTTGAGGAATAAGCATAGTCTAAGAGAAGTTCCAGAACCTCTGGGTGGATGGAATTATGGAAGTTGACTTCACTGGCTTGACTCTCTTTGAGTCCTCCACTGAACATGGCTTCAAAATAGCGACTGCAAGCTGCTAGAACAGCTCTATGGCAAGGGAATGATTTGTTCCCTGCATGAAGAAGCACATCTGTAAAAAGACGTTGCTGACGCAAGAGGTTGAGATGAGTGAGGACACTATCAGCATATGAAGACTTGTGGAATAAATAAATGTTTATGGAGCCAGTGCTGGCCCTAGACTTGCGATTCTCATGCATGCTGACTGACATTTTCTTCCACACCTAAACATAAAAGATAAATACAGTTAAAAGGTCTTAGGAGCGCAATATAAAACACTTGCTTTAAAAGGAGCAATTGAATAGCACAATCCTATGTATTCTTTTTGGTCAGCCACCCAGACAGCTTTGGCTATTTAGTGATACAGAAATGGAATAAAATAAACAAAATATACATATTCAGTGGGGCTTATTCCAGGATAAACATGCAGCCTAACTTCCCTCTTTTCCCCAGCTAACAAAATGTAACAGTATTCTGAGCAATATTAAACAGAAGCTTAGGTCAAAAAACTCCACGCCTGTGTATTTTCCTAATACAAAAATCTGAAGTGGTATATCTAAAAATCATTGCTTGAGACACCAGATTTACCTTGGTAAACCAGATCTCTCTCACTTTCACTGCAATATAAGAGGGCAGTGTAAGTCAGAATGGGAAAGGGGGCAATCCTGTTTTATTTCACATCTCCCCAGTGCAGAGCGGCTGATTCATTGCATATTCAGAGCTAACACATACTGAAAGCATTCTCTGGCCTTGAATCACAGCAGGAAAAGCAACAGGATACACTGCATTCAGGAATGTAAAAATACTGCAAAGAATGCAGGCACCCACAAATTAACCTCATTAAGATGATACCCTGATACTGATAAAGACAATTCCACCCATACCAAGAAGGTATGTAAAAGGTAAGGAAGAGATGGGTTTTTCTTTTTTACTTAAAACTGGCCTAGTGCAGCTTTCCCCAACCTGATGCCCTCCACACTGTTGAATTACAACCTCATCCTCCCCAACGAGCATATCCAATGGTGATCTGAACGTTACCAGGCTGGGGAAGGCTGGAATGTTGTGGATAGACTGCCTGAGAAGTACACCCCCATCTTTCCAATGTACGCAAGCACTATGGTTTAGTGAATCAAGATAGCTGAATTCAGAGTGCTGAAGTGAAGCAGAGCTCCAATTCTGGAGTTTCCTCTCATCTGGGTGGAGGTGTAGAGAATTATCTGAAGAAGAGTATGTTTACTGAAAGCATGCACATTCAGATTTCCTAAGACAAATCCTTGGGTTAACTCACTGAAGAACGGGAATTGCCTTTTGCTGGAAGACCATGTGTTGGAGCAGATTTCTAATGCGAATGCTCCTGCCAATGCAAGAGGCAGGAAGTGACCTTTGCTTATTCTCCCTCTCACTGGAGCGCCCAGTACCATTCCTCCATAGGGGACATGGAGAATGCAGAATCAACAATTACCCTTCCCCAACTCCAACCAACAGAATCCTCCTACCAGATGAAATAGCTCTTCCACCCACAGCAGACTTATGCTGAATCCAATCCAATAAATTTTGGTGATTATGGGGAGACAAGCTGCAGCAATCTACAGCTCAGAACCTTAAAAAACCTTTATTGTTGTTTCTTGGTACAAGCTGCATCACTTTGTCCTATTTAGGAAGGTGCAAGAGATGGGAGGGTTTGGGTGCCAGGAGAACGTATTTGTTAACTAAGATGGGAAACAGCTGAGTGAAAGGCATGCCGCAGTTGCCCACAACAGAGAGCTCTTTTGCTCATAACCTTTTTTAAAAGTCCAATGGGGTTGGGTCTGCCTGCTGCACAAGTCCGACCAGCTTTATTCAGGTTTCATAGAAACCACCACAGCCCACAGAAAAGAGCCAATGTCTCCACAGTCCAGGCCAAAGGTAGGAGGGAAGGAAGTTTACATGACAGAAAGATATAATTTATAATGACCTCCTAGAAACTTTCCCAGCCTGTCACCCAACCAGAAAAAGTCAACAGAACCTGGAGAAAGAGAAGCTGAAGTATTCATTAATCTGCTACCAAGTGATGAGTCAGATGTGACACTTGAAAAGACTTGGCCAAGCCTAGAAATATATAAACTGGAACTCAAGGCAAAGGGGGCAGTTTTCAGAATAGAAAATGTTCACAATGCTCAATGAAAGACACAATGTCCTAGTTCCACTAGCAGAAGGGTGTGGAGCCACTACAGTGGAGGAAACAGCAATGCTCCTCAATGCCCCTTTGATGCCTGAAAACCTTCTTATTCTAGCTCACGGAAGGCAACATTTGGCAATCCAGACCTTTTGGCCTACAGATCCCACCATTCCCCCCTAGTGGTTATGCTGTTTAGGGATCATAGGGTTTGTAGGCTAAAATATCCAGAGGTCCCCCACCCTATTCTACTCTTACAGCTCACCTTATAGGTAAGTGCTGCTCCCTATTTGGCGCCTGTAGTAAATAATTAGAGTCCAGAAGTTTTTCAAGCTTTACAGGTCAATCTTAACAAATCTGCTTGAAACAGAGTGACTATGGTTTGAGAAGCACCGTCTCAACTCAAAGGGAAATCTGTAAACTGGCAGCAACAATGTTCAATTTAAGAAATGCACCTCAATCAGCAGTAGAAGTATGACATACCTTGATGGCAGAAGCAGTATTTTTTTTTTATCTACAATTTTAGTTGCTTAGTGACAATCACAGAGATTGAACAGCACTTTATGTTTCTGGCTTACATTTTGTAAAGCAGTTCTGTAATTTCTTTTCTGGCTATAATGTTTCACATTTCCTCATTAACCAAAATGTGGTACAATATAAGTAATCAAGAAAGATATTATATAAAAATGACTCAGGCTCATACCCTAAGCATACACACTGTGGAGTAGACCCCATCAACTTTACTGGGTTTAACTTCAGAGCAAGCGTATTTGGAACTGCATTGTCCATATAAGAGATATCAGATTAGGCATAAGTATTATTTTATTAGCTGTTACAGCTAATAACATTATCTGGCAATCAAACATTATCTTGACATTCAAGAGTCCCAGAAGCTAATCCTGGATTAAAGTGTATCTTGCTGCCTCAAAGATTCCCCCGCCCCGCTATACCTCCTGGAAAGCTAGATTATGTTAACGCCCATAAACTTGAGTCACCAGGTTGAAAATTGCAGCTGGGAATAGTTACATACTTGGAACTACTTAAATACAAATCATTGCCTATTTTTTTTTCTGATTGGTTTACTTTCTATTTAGAATTTAATACTGCCAGATGGAGATGCTCCCTAACTCTACCAAGCCCAGATACTGAACTTATTCCTCTTTTCACCCTGCTGCAAAAAGTCCACACCATCTGAGGCTATAGAAAGCAGGGGCAAAGGAAGTCTCACATGCATGCCCCAAATACCTGCAAGCCATCTGCAAAATCAAGCAAAGGTGCTGACTGACTGGCTGCCCCCCATATAACTCCATCTCAATAAACCCATTTATTTTAACTTCATATTATCTGGATATTTTAGTCCCTACAAACCAGCAGTATAAGTAAGGTCATGCTGCATTCTAAACTGCACTTGAAACATTTTGTTCTTACATTTGTTTCTGCAAAATATATGATCCACAAATATTGTAGCAAAGGTAATATTACACTGAAAGTGGTGGGGGGGGGAGATGAGGCAACATCCTTCAAATAATTTCCCCCATACAGTTAACATGTAATCTGCCCCTTACAAGTATATCTAATAGCAGAACCTTCTGCATGTGTTTCTACCCAGACCTAAACCTTAATAAATATAAAAATATTTATTCCCAGGTAAGTGTATTTAAGAATGCAGCTTGAAACACTGCATTACTAGATATTTTACAGGAAGCACATCAGAGCAACTGCACAACTGATCACTCATGTTGCTTGATATAGTCTTAAAAAGCTTGACTAGTAGTATACAACAAATGCCTTGCTGGACCAGACCAGTCTTGTCCACCACTGTTTCCAAAATCAGCCTACATTTGCAAGCTCATTTGCAAGCGCCTGTTATTTATTCCCCAACATCTTGCATGTCAAGGTATGCAGCCTCTGAATTTGGAGGTTCCACTTAAGTCTCTAAAGCAAACCATGATAACAAAGTCTTGAGCCAATCAATGAACAAGAGGCCACAGACCCAGGGGGATCATATCTAATCATTTCTTTGCAGAATTAAAAGACAAAACAAAATGCTATTAAAATGTTATCATGCTGATTATTCACTATTCAGCTCATTCTTAAAGTTATCCAGGAAATTGTGTGTGCGCGAGCACACACACCGGTGGATTTCAGAGATCAGGTCAAGATTTGCACATATTTTCTTCCCCAATCTGCTGTCCTTGAATGTGTTGGGCTAAAAGTCCCATCATCCCAAGCCAGCATGTCCTTGATGATAGGAGCTATAGTCCAGTGCATCTGAGGGAGACTGGGTTGAGGAAGGATGTTTTAGGCAGCTGTTCCAAGGAAAGATATATAGTTATCTGTGCAGATAATATGCAGCAATAATACTGCATATTATATTATAAAGAAAACATCCTTATAAAGAAAATATCCTTCAGCAAAAAATGTCTTTTACTTCCTGTCTTCTCAGACTTCAAAGGAGCTGCATAAGGGCTGAGCTCAGTTACTAAGCAAATATTGATACAGTTCATCACTCTATCACATGAAATCATATATGGCCAAGAAAAAACTCTGCTGTTTATTTAGCTAATTTTGGTTTATGCAGAGACCTACAGGTCAGTGTAAAAAGTAATGGATTTCTGTTTGCCTAAGAGAAATACTGGTATTAACCCCACTGAACAGCCATATTATCATGTATATCAACACTGTATTTTCTAATCAGGTTTGAAACAGATAAAAAAACACAAACCAGATTAGCCTGCTTTTTTGAACTTGCATATATTGTTTGGATAATCTTTTTAATATGATTTTAAATATTCAGATAATGTATCAGTAAATAATGCAAGACGAAAAGTCAACTAGTCCATAAAAACGACTCACAATTGAAAAAGTGCCAACTTGGGGTAAAATGTAACATCCCAGTTAACCCAATGAAATGGGAGGGATTTCACTTAAGCCCACCTTAAGCGCCATTCGGTTTAATGGGTCTACTCTAAGTAAGGCTTAAGTTTGATTATATCATCGCCTGAGGTTTTTGATACTCCCCTTATTTCAGAATATTACTCCATAAATGCATAAAGTCCGAACTCCGTAAAAAAAGACACACAGGTTAATATGCAATCCTTTCTTGGTGAGAATCCAATATTTCATCTTAAAGAACACACTCCCAATTTACCAAGGTAATTGAGTGAGTGAAGGAGCCGAGAAAAAAGATCCATCTTATTTCATATGTTTACTGATCGTTTTTATTTTGCGGTCCCGCCAATCGAAGTGCTATTTGCGCGAAGCCGCCTAAATTTTTCGAGCATGGACAGCTCGGCTCCTTCCGCTACTTCCCTGCCAATTTGCGCGTTCCGCCGCTGCCGGGAGCCCAGCGAGAGAGCCATGTGCGCCTCCGCAAACACAAAAGCCGTGTCAACGGCCGCCTTACACTTCCCTCCGCTTTGAAGTGAAGAAAGAGGGATGGCAGAATCGGAGCTATCCCTGGGAAGGCAGGCAGAGGAAGGAAGCAGCCAACACACCCTCTGACCCTCCCTCTTCCTGTGGGACGGGAAAGGAAGAAAGTGCCCTTGCTGGCGGTGCTGCAACCGAGTTCCTTCCCGAGCTGAACAAGCAGTCGCCGTCCCCGGAGGACACCCCAGGAGCGGCTCCCTTCCCAACCCCTGAACGAAGCGTGCGGGACATCAAAGCCTGCTTTGAAGTCCCACCTATTGAATTCCTCCCCCAGCACTTCGCCCGCTATCCCCTTTCGCAGATACTGTGGGTGCACTCTGCACATGCTCAAAATGCATCCCGGCACACGTTGCAAGGGTCGGCGCCGGCTTGCGGGGGCTAATGCTGCAACTGTACCCATGGGAACGTGTAGCCTTGAACTCGGCGTGGCTTACTTCCGAGTAAAGAGCGTGCACGGGCTGCAGCATGCACCACGCCCCGGCCAGAAGATGAAACGTCCGCCCTGCCCCCGAAATCGAGGGTCCCCTTCGCCCGCTGACCCGCTCACAGCCCTCGGGTCCAGCCAGCCCTTGAGCAGGGCGAAGCACGCCGCTGCAACAGGTCGGAGGTAAACATGCCGGGTAAACTTACAGCCAGCGCTTTCTCGGGGGCACTCGCGTCCTGCCTCCTGGCACCAGGGCAGCTCACGGCATGGAAGCGCGAGAGGAGAGCAAGCTGGAGCCGGTCCTTTCCGCGCCAGTCTTAGCGGGCGCCTCTCTCCGTCCTTCCGCGGAGCCGCGGCTGCCTGGCTGGCTGCCTTCGCTCCCCCTTCCAAAGCCGGAGCAGCCGCGCCAACCCGCCCGCCCAGCCGACTGCCTGCCTGCCTCCCTGCCTGCCACAGCGTGCGTCTGAAGTTGCGGCCGCCGGCTGGTTGCTGCGGCTGGTAGGAGGGCCCACGGCTCGCAGTGGCAAAGGGAGGTGGGGCCGCGGCGCGCTCGCTCGCTCGCTCGCTCGCTCCCTGGCCTCCCGCTCTTCCTCTGGCCTCGGCGGGCGCGAGCGAGCGCGTATAAGGGGCTGCCGGCGGGGAGGGCCACATATGCAAAGAATGAGTGACACGCAGGAGGCGGGGGCAGGAGGCGAGCTGACTGAGCGGGGAGGGGGGCGCCGCCGAGAAGCTCCCGGCGACGTAGCCCGGGCGACGCAGGAGAGGAGGGGAGGCGCCTCCCTTCCCTCCGGAGTGCCAGCCAGCGGTGGTCGCCGCGGCTGCTCGGCTGGGGGCCGCGCGTCTCCGGGCCGCTGGCTGCGTGCCTCGGCCGTGGAGCTGCCCTGCGGCGAGCCCCTCTTGTAATAATGAAAGCGGGGCACCCGTGGGAGAGCCAAAGACACGGAGGCTTGGAGGGCAACCTTGAGAGGGAGCCACATGCTGGGTGAGATGCTTCCCGGGATCCGTATGGCAGGCGACTTGCTCCGCCGAACCCTTTCGAGATGTTGGATCCATAGTTTTCTCAATGTTCCGTCAGCCACGTATCCTAAACATACACATTTTGGTTGCTACTGGTCAGTGGGTCCCTGAGGGTGGAGCTGGGGGAACAGCATGATGCTTAAATATTGCATATTTTCAAAATGGACTAGTGAACTAACTTTTAACTGAATAGATTCCATCAATAATAATAATCAAATGCAATTTTTAAATGCCTCCATACAAAGCTGGGAGAGCAAGAAAACTGCAATAGTATAAAGCAGGGAAAGGACATAGACCAAGTTGAAATGCCCAAGCAAAATAATGCTTTGACTTGGCACTAAAAAGATTGTGGCTGTATCAAGCAACCTTCCTGGAAGGGTGTTCCAGATTTGGGGTGAAACCACAGAAAGGGCTCTCTCCAGCTACCAGGGAGGATACAACAGTGGAGCACGTGTTGCTTATTCTTTATGGAGCACCTATAAGACTTCTTCAGCAGCACGTCGCCTCGTCACTTCCATAACCATTGTTCACCAGTCCTGCTCTTAAGACTGCCTGTGCCCCAGGTAAAGCCAAGCCAAAAACAAATTCTTGGGCAGGTTGGGGGAAATCCATGCAACAAGGTCAGAAGTAGGCTGAGGCCAGAAATGCTGCTGTACTGTTCAGGAACACGGCCTTGAGTGAAGCCAAGGTCAAGCATGGTGAAACTGTCCAGAACAACCCTAGTCCTATGAGCAGGGCTCCTGGAGTCAGCAACATACCAGATCGATCAGCAATCAGAGAAGGTAAACCCATTTGCAACACTGGGGGCTGAACAACATATTATTAAAGCAGTTAATAGGCATCATAGTCTGGTCTTTGGGAGCCCACTCTGGCCTGGGATCTGGCTGCAAGTGCTTAGTTCTGCTCTCTCAAAGCCCTTCACTCCCAAGGGATCCCACACCCATGAGCCGCTGTGTAATAGTGGGCTTTCAGGGGCCCACTACTTCACCAGGTGGCCATCTGAGCCTCCACTTTCTGACAGCTACACGCTTTCTGGGGCTGTGAGGCAGAGCAGCCTTCCTCTGTCACAGGTGAGCCAGGGACACCTCCCATGTGCCCTTTCAGGATATCCTGTGGAGATAGGTCCGGTGATGTCCCTTCCTGAAGACTGAGGTCTTTCTGGTTCTTGCTGATGCTCCAGGGCTCTGTCTGTGCTCCAGGCTTCCCTGGCTCTGGGAGGTCTGAGTCCTCATCAGGGGAGGATGAAGAGGTACCCTGAGCCAGGGTTGTTTTTCTATTTTCAGACCCTGGCAGAGAACTTTGGCTATTTGGTGATTTATTAATAATAATACTGTGAACACACATGAATATATACGGAAATGTCATCAAGAATGAAGTGACAAAATGGAAGTAAGAGGATCACTGCATACCATGTATACAAAGAGTGAATTGCTGGTTCCTGTGTAGCTAAAACACCACCATTCATGCACAAGAGGAAGGTACCAGCAGACTTGGAAGAACCCCAAGGCTTGCAGAAGTAGCCTAAAAAACATTTATGGGGAAACCTCCTCAGAATACTCAAATGAAGATCAAGTATGGTCAAGGACTACGGAATGCTGGCTGATTGCTGGGGTGAGGAGACAAAAAATTCATGGAGAGGAGAGGTGGAATGAAGTATCCTGAAATAAGACATTGCTTCTGGCTGGCATACTAAACAGGAGCACCCTACACTGCAAAATTGTTTCAGGCCTCACTTGCGTTTTTACTTAGTTTGATATCTGATTTTGATTCATTTTGTTCCAGAGCAAAATAGGTCGGAATAATGTAAGATATTGAAAGGGCCTTTCTTTCAAGACTGTCACTGTCAGAGACATATTTGGTGGCAATGTGAAAGAAGGCCTTTGCAGGGCCACTTCGAGGCTGTGGAATTCCCTTCCAGAGACAGCTTGTTCCCTATAGCTGTCCTTCCACCAGCAGGCAAGGACTACTTTATTCGTGCAGAGCATTGGTTTGTAAGTGCATGTGCTTTTGCTCTGTTGCTGTGTTTTTAATTGTTTTTAATGCATTGCTGATCTTTTTTAAATCAGTGATTGTACCATTTTTAGTAGAAAGGCAGGTACATATCAAAGAAATGAAGATGGGGAAGATGGGAGAGCAGCAAAGCCCAAGAAAAGAAGACAATAGTGATGGTGACTAAATAATATATTCTTTCAGTGGCCTCTGGCAACCTTGAGGCAACCTTGAGTGCTACCATAAGGAGAGTCCCTAAAACTAGTCCTCCAGCCATAGCTGGGTTTAGCTGTCACCAGACCCTATCTTTGCTCGTGATGGTTGGGGCTAGTGAGAGCGGGTGTCTGCAAGTTCTCTGCTCTTGCTCCAGAACAAAAGGAATGGGCATTTCCTCCTCATCAAATCCCACTGATAGATAAGAAAACCAAGGGAATTCATAAACAGAAAACAACCAGAGAGATTAGGGCTCCATGTGGCTAATTTTAAAGCCACATATATTTATATTGGGCCAGCTGCTACCCACAGGACAGTGAGGTGGTGTGATGCAATTTGACAGACAATTAATTTTGTTATTATCACAGGGCACATTTTATTGAAAGGGGAACTAATATGTGCATACTGCTTTCTAAAAGGAGGGCTCAATGGAACATGTTTAGGTGTGAAATACCTCTTTGAGGCAGCAATAGTAAGTGTGTTAGGAAAACTATCTGTACAGTTTTAAGAACCAGATTTTAGCACTTAATTACATCACAGAACATGAGAACATCATCACAAGGAAGCAAAGGAAAAGTTAGGGGCTGTCCAGTTAAAAGAACAAAAGATACCATTTATTTAATTAGGAGTTGTTTGTTTTGCCCCAGCATTTACCTCATTGGTTTCACTTTAATAAAGAACAATGCAGCCGATTGTGATTCAACCAATTTGCAACTTGCTGTTCTGCTAGTTTTGATATCAAGGTATCCTGTTTAGAACAACAACCCAGCCTGAAAACGTTCCCCCATACTCTGCTTTTGCTTAGCTACTTTTGCAGCAACCAAAGCATTTTCTTCCAAAAGTTCCTCAGCCATAGCTGGCAGTGCTTGAATTAAGGGAAATGGCTCTAAAACATTACATGCCGGATGGACTATTCTGCAGAGTTAAATATATTGCCCTTTGAAAGCCCCATTCTTTTAACCTTTTCTTAGGTAATGCCAAGGCTGTGATGGGTAATCTTAATGCACTGACTCCTCAGTGAGCTAAGAGGGACAAACATCGATATGAAGAGCAAACTTTCACAGCAGTTTCCTTTTACTGCAGAATAAGGCAACCAGGAGAAGGTGGTATTTTTCCATACAGGGCTAGGATCAAGGGTAGGCAAAGTCAAGCTCCTACTGAGAGCTCACCCCACAGCAGGGATCTTGCTAACAAGACCCTCCCCTAGGTTAGCCTGCAGCCTGCCCCTCTGTCTGGCCCAGTCGACAGTATTGGTGAACAGGAGGAGTGGCGATGCCATGGCCTGTTTGCTCTCTGGCTCTCTGCCTGTCCTGAGGGCAAGTGGTAGCAACGATGTGACCACAGCCCTGAGAAGATAGACAGTGCAGAAGGGGGCCTCCAAAGTCTGGAGCTGGCACCCTTTGCATAGGTGAGCATGTCTCTGTGTTATAATGCACATGGCACAGAAACTATCTCCATAAAGAAGCACAGGACAAAGGTAATCAAACAGTCTTTGTTTAGCCAAACGACACAGCAGAACTCTTATTGCATCATAAATGATCTAAGCATGTGGTTAACTGAAAGCCCTCCCCACTTCTGCTGCTTCCCTGCCCTCTTACTGGATACACACGAGGGAGCAGCCTTCATACTGCTTCCCTGAACATTTCTCAGAGAAAAGTGACCCTTCAGTCCCGCTGGAAGAAGATCTGGATAATAGCCCAGTGGCTGAGCCTCAACCATCAAAATGCTGAATAATCTTAGGAACCAAGAAGCCTTTTAGCCAATGGTCAGCTAACACTGCTAAAATACTTAACAGTTAAATAGCTTGAATGCGGATGCTCTTCTGCCTCAAGTCAGAGAGAGGTGGCAAATCACCCCCAAGCTTAACCATAGCCCTCCAGGAAGGTAAAACCAATTAAACTTCCCCAAAGGAAGTGCATAGTTTCACCTGGCCATTTGGCAAATTCATTCTTTCCCCCCAAAGTAGGGAAAGCCTATTGGATCATTAAAAAAAACCGGTAGTGCTATTTGAAGACAGCGCTTTTTTAAAGGCTGCGGTCCTATATCCACTGGAAGTAGACCTCATTACATTTGACTGGATTTACTTTTGAGTAGCCTTGTATAGAATTTCCTGTAAATTGATTTTCAGTGTGAAGAACAACCAAGAGGCCTGACAAGAACATCCAAAGAGACCATGAACACAGGGTATGTATACTCAATGAAATATAATTAAATAAGTAAAGCTACTGAACCAAAATATCTATTGATGTGTAGGCAAGCAACTAAATCAGGTACAAGTGTGAGGTACCTTTTGCAAGATTGCTCAACTATTGCAAAGAGTTTTTCACATTTTCCTGTATCCTTTATTTAAA